GGCCTTTTTGTTTGGCTCTGGTCACATATACGACTTTCACGACAAGCGGCTATCACCTTCTCCCACGCAAATTGATGGCGCGTCGTGGATACCATGGTTACTGCGCTGGTCGCTTATTAATTGATATGCATTCATTTCTAGCGAATAATACGGCAATAAGAACGATAAGGCAAAATCAATGAGAAAATAGACAATAGAGCTGCATGCAATCAAGAAGAGAGCGGATCAAGAATGACCTATGAAATTAAGCAGAAAACGAATATATGGAAAAAGGCACAGTCCACAGTGAACAAAACACTAAACGAAACACTTTTACAGACCGAAAAAGTTAGTAGGTAGCACCAGAACAGCAAAAATTGCTTCAGTAATAACCACCGTTCCTGGTGACTTTGCTACAGACCCAGCCTTCGAAGCTTACCTTTCAGCCCAAAGCGATGCTACTGGACAAGTAGCACGAAATGGATGCTACGTTGTCGCCTGTGCGATTCATAGAGCGTTCAGTACAAGGGGTCGAAACTCAGAGTCGACCAGCCAAACGTTTTTGCGATTTGCGCTCTTGCAATTAGGGTGCTCCGTATTCGACCGTCTCTTTGCATTTTCGCCCTCACAGATGAGTCGTACGGCGGCAGCTTCCCCTTTCTTGTCCCGCTCAAGCACTGAGCTCCTTTATCGGTGATCCGGTCTTCGAAGAGGGATAATCACTCGCTCCTCAAAGCTACAGCTTTCCAGGGCCATACAGCATCTGTGTAGACTCTGCAAAAATAAACGTCGGTTTAAACCGCAGCAGTCTATTTTCCTGAGTCTTTGGTCTCGACGTTCGAACACGCAGTACCACTTTCCCGCGCTTGGCCCAAAACCTCTTTCCTCATGTAGGGTTCTTGCCATCCTCCATATGTCAAATCACCTCAGTAAACGAGCTTACACGGGTTTTCGAGAGAAAGACTAAGCAGTGAATTAGCGACAGCACCAAATGGCACCGGAAGACAGACGAATGTCATTTTTGTGACCTGAGGAATAACCCCTGCACTTGATGGTTCAGTAAAAAGGAGATTGCCGGGAGCAGAAAGTTGAACGGTGCTAAAATTTCAGTAAGGGGTCACGAGGGACCTTGTCCACCACTGGTGGCGGACACTTGCCGTGAGCTCGCAAATGCTCCGGTCCGAACGAGCCGTTTTCGAAAAACGCGCCTGGTCGCGAATGGGTTAATGAGAGTGACGGTTCCCTGAGCTTCATTGTGTTCAATCTTGCTCAATGTGTAGCATTGCTAAGCTCTTCTTTCCATTGAATCTTTATTCGATGACTACGTTTCGGGCGTAAGCCCTCCGTCGATTACTCAATCTTAAACGGCATATACCCTTACAATGTTACAGCATCAATATTAAACATAGCAAAAACTCATGTAGAATATAGAAGGGGGTAGGAGGACAAAGCTCCGTCAAGGCCTCACTACGTAGCAGTAGGACAGAAATAAAAGTGGAAGGATTGGGATCATTTATAAGGGTGCGGGACAAGGGTGATCTAGAATTCGTCACGTATGTCTCCATTGTGCACGTCTTATACTGATAACAAACTCATTGCCACTTTCATCTCCTCCTTGCTGTTGATGGGTGGTTCTTGTTGCTTTATTTCCAGTGCCTCCCTGATCTTTCTTTCAACTGGATCTACCACATTTCTGTGTAGGATGGAGATGCGAAGTTCCGGCGGTCTTTCTTGAGCGTGCCTTAGTGTGCGGTGTCTCGAGAATGGGTTCTCCGGGTAGCTCTGTGGGTTCCGCAAAGCTCGTGAGTGTTCCTGTATTCTCTTGTGATGGCCTCGATGTTTCTCCAATGCAGTGCGTATCAGAAGTATGTGGACACCACAAATTTTGACTCTACAAGAACACTTTTGATATTGGTGTGATGGGACTTCACTATTTAATTCCTCAGGTACGGAAACCATACTATACCTTACTTGGTAGCATTTTGTGGGCGACTTCACATTTTTTTCATTACTGGAAAAAGTTTCTTTGTACCAAAAGTATGTGGACACTTGAGAAAAAATAAAAATATCTTCGAGATGAAAGGCTGGTAGCCCTTATATGGCTTTGTACCAGTCTGATGATTTTATCCGACATGCCCCTGAACGAGGTTTCTCATGGCTGTCTCATGTATAATGTCACAAGCAGCATGTATTACGCCTTGAAGTGACGATTGCACTGCCGGCTGATATGAAAGACATGCTGAGCCGTGATCTCCTGACGTTTTCAAAATGGTAACAGTCAGTAGAACTATGTGAGAAATCCCCCATATCCATACCGCTGTGCAGGAACCTTTTCTTTGCTCGAAACTTGACAACTGTTGCCACGTTCTGCGGCTGTAGAACATGTCCTCTGCATTGCTAGTTCCTCAAAAAGACCGAAAGGTAAGAGTCGGCCACTTATTCGTATTCCTGACTTTCTATGCTTCATGTCGGCAGAAGGAGGCTCCATTTTTCCGCTCTTTCCAAAGCCATAGCAAACCACATGTACATCTGATTCGAAGTTGCTTTCCGAGCTACCTACCAAGGCCACTCTAAAGTCACGAAATCCGTTCGGAGCGTCAATACTCAACATTTTTCATCCAGGAAGATTAATAAACTAGAAAATGTTCATCAGATGTTGGCCGTGCTCAACTCTGCAGTTTCCTCCAGACTCCACCTCATATGATTATGTTGTGGCATTTTCACGGACATTTTCACTGCCATTTCGTCCTGAGCAGTCAATCTGGAAGCATTCCTCCCGTTAGTTTATGAAGCACACTCTTTAGATTGGAGAGAAAGCCCAAAACGGTATTCCTTGAGGCCAGCAAACTTTTTGAAGCGATTTCTCGACCAACACACCGATAGTTATCTGAGATTACTCAGGCTATTCTTCCTTTATTCTAAGCAAGTAGGGACTCTGAATAATTCTGCTGACTGTAATCATTTTGAAAACGTGAGGAGATCACGCCTCAGCGTGTTCTGTCACATTTTTTTTTCAAATTACGCTTTCTTTTTATAGAGAGAAGTGTAAGATCAAAGTTACACAGCTATGTTACTGCGGGGTTCTTGATAGTTTTTGAGCACCTCATATGTCCATATAACGGTTGAGTACGGGGGCAATTCGCAGTTAGAAGGAGCAATGTCTGGGCTAGGGAGAGCCATCCAGCTCTATTGCATGAGGTACGGCTCGAACTTTTTTGGACGGAGTAGGCTGCACTGTCACGTTGAAGACGGACTGTGCGGACAAATTTTTCCCTCTGATCGACGGTTCGCTTCAGATCTCGTAGCTGCTTTGCGCACGGGTTGACCGAGGAAGCAGCTTCTTCATCCAGCATTTCACGACCCGCAGCTCCCTCAATCTGAGTTCGCAGGTAACCCAAACCTCACTTCGTCATCAAAACTGTAGGCTCCCGCTTTGAAGCATTAGCGTCGTGGAAGGTTGTCCGATAATTGAGGGCATCGTCCTTATTCAGCTCCATTATCTGCAGCTATCATGCTGGCGTCAGGGTGGTGGAAGAAAGAGTTTGAGGAAGCGCTTGGAGGGGTCGGTGCCGATGGTAGCGGATAACATTCTTGTCCATATTGCAGAAGAAGAAGAAGCAGGAGTCAAGCGAGTGGTACTAATAGAAAGACCACTCCTTGATGTATAAGTGCTCACATTACCGGTTACCCCTCTTCAGGTAATGGGCAAGTATTTTGAGTTCAGAAAGTATGATCCCCGCCAACCTAATATTATATATATATAATTATATATAATATATAATATATATAATTAAATAATATACATATTAATATATATATATATAATATATATTATATATATAATATATATATAATAATATATAATATATAAATCGGAAAATACAAATAAGGTAAAAACGACAACCATCACAATATTCTTTAAGTCAGGTATTTAGGGGGTAGCCACATCAATGAAATCAAATCAATAATAGCGAAGGATACAAAACCAAATTATTTGACCTTTGATATAACAACACTCGCAATTGATTAAAAATTAGCGGTAATTATGTAATGTACAGCCATCAAGGAAGCCTAAGCCGTTTAACCTTCAACTCAATTTCCACCGAGCCATTTTTAAATTGCCTAAGGTCACCAAATCCGCTAATAAAACTTGTATTTAGGGGTAGTTAAACATCCTGATTACGAATATGACATTCACTCTTGCCGCTGGCGCTAATGGATGACACTACGATTATCTGCGCTCCGCTAAGGCTGAGCCCAAGAGGTAATCGTAGTGTCATCCCTTGGCGCCAGCGCCAAGAATGAGTGTCATAATTGTAATCAGATGGTAAATAACCCTTGTGTACATGTTTTCAGCGGGTTTGGTGACTTAGGCAATTTAAAAATGAGCTCGGTGCCGAAGTTGCTGGAGTCCAAGACGGCATTAGCCAGAGAGAGCGCAATTGTGTCCAGCACGTAAACTGGTCCCTCTTGCATAACTCGTCGAATGTTAGCTGATGGACATAGTTCGAGATGTCGAGTCGTCACGAGTAGTGTTATTTTGTAAACAATTGGATTACGCAACAAAATATTACGTTTGTATTCTATATTATATATTTGCTCATCGTTCAGACGAACTTAAGCCCTCCCCTCTCGGGATAGGGGGCCCTAAGGTTGTCCGGAAAGTTCTGAGAAATTTCAAAGCTTCAGTCTGAAGAAGTGTAGCAAACGAATGCCCCAACAGAAAGTCATATATCAAGTGCTATGAGAAAGAGAAATGTTTGTAGATCAATACTAATGCTGGTTGGTTATTATTCTCCATTGTTGGTATGATTTGACATTACCTGAAAAATGTACTGACGCACACGACTCCCAATGCCTTCTAATTCATCTTCATCGTTCTGGCTGATCTATCGGTCTCTGATGTCCTATCGCCATTGTAAGTGGCAGTACACACTGATTACACACTAACGATATCGCGAGGTTACACTTGCGGTACCATCTTAAACCGTGCTTATCCTATAAGCTAGAGTTGAACTGCAATGATATCGATCGTTTGTATATGCTACTTCTTCCATGAGACTCAAGCGGCATCGGTTATAGGAACATTGCGGTACAGCACTTGTGCAGAGGCCAATCACTTTCCATAGTTTGATTTTTTCAGGACCCTTCATGTGCCGTTCAAGCCAACATCCGCAAAGGTAGAACCTCTGGGTCCGCGAGACCTCTTGACAAGAGGAAAACAGATCCATCGACTTCTGTTAACTTACAAAATACATAGTATGTTTGGAGGAATATTGTGTAGTCAAATTTTTGTCTTTAAATTGTATTTCAGTTTCAAAATCGTGTGAAATTCGTCTTGATTTGCCTAGTGTAACCTCGTACCTGTATGAGTCTCCTTATGATTGCATACTTGTACAGTTGTTTTCGTCAACCAAAGAATATATTGGTGCTTCAAGCAGTTATCCAGAAAGGGTTAGTGTTGGTTTGATTCCATTCTCTGCTGTGTTATTAATGTTGGATCGTTGCAGTACTCATTCAAATTAGAAAAGGGGGAATATGTCGTACAGGCGGAGGTTCGTCACCCTGACACTAGTCAACTCGAGCTTCTAACAGATACACCATTACAGTAAGTTACATGTTCTGACCAGCTCCCAGTGACGCTAAATGACTATGTGCATTCTTATAGTGTTCGTGTTCTCATAACGCCGACTTTATCTATTGACCTCAGCTCTGCACCTCTCGGTGGAGAAAACGGTAAGCGTTCATTTTATTTTTATCACTATTTCAACTCACCTTCGCACGCTTATTTCTCTTTTTTTTGTTTTAGCATTCAAGTGGGCGAATAAACATCTCAGTCCTTCTCCAGCAGATCACTTTATACGCTGGCAGCATTCCTGACGACAAGTTAGTCTCTTCGCACAGTGATTGCTTTCAAGTTATAGTTGCATAGTGTATGGTACTGTTTGAGGTTGCCCAAGACAATAAATATCGTGAGCGGATCGTATATGACGGGAAGCTTAGTCGTTATGAGCAATAGTGGAAGCAAAGCGGTTAGTTGCTTTTGATAATTTTTGGATTGAATTGGTTACTTAAGATGACTCATTCTCTTGTTTCTCTCATTCTTGTGTTTTCTATATCCATCTCGTTTGTGGGGAAAATTTACAAAGCGCACCGAGTGGTCGTGACTGGTATTTCTTTTCTTTGTACATATTGGGAAGATTTCTTGTGAGGCATTGTGGGTTGTGACAAGAGTTACATTCCTTGCGTAAGCCAAGCACACAGCCCTCACAGGATTTCTTAAGGAGAAAAGCCGCCGCTCAGCCAAAAGCAGATGTGCATATAAGAAGATTTTACTGCGTTATTGTTGGAACTTCAGAGCCATGTCGCTGGATCCTGGCACAGCTGAGACAGCCACATTCTAATTTGAAGACAGCCCCCGCGCTCAAGTAGTACATGGTCGTCCTTCCTTGTGCAGGTAGTTCAGCCCCCAAGCTAGATACTATCCCACTCTCGCGACTCCACAGTGAGCGAGGAGCGAGCTACAGCCGCTCAAAGTTCTAGTTCTAACGCCCGCTCAGTTGGACCGCCCACTTGCTAGCTGCCCTCTGACGGAGAGCCGCTCAGTTGTTCTTTGTTGGGACGGCGGGCATTAATCGGAACTGCATGTACTTTTTGCTGACCGCGCTCGTGCCCATAAATAATTCTGCTTCATCACATTTTATTCATTGGGAGCACATACAGTCAACTGCAACCCATCTCGTAAGGTAAAACGCGTAAAAATCACGAATGATGCAATTTCTGTGGTGCAAAAGCTCGACATGCACCAAAAGCTGCACACTTCACGTAACCCCAAATTCGGACGCCAGGTTTTTGAATTTTTCCTTTTTTCAAGTGTTTTTCGTTCGTGTCTTTGTTGTTTTTCATATTCTTTGAATTGGATGTTGTCCACTACTGGGAAATGCCATAAAGCGATTTGTGAGCCAGGGGTTGCCCACGGACCGCAGGGCGGTGTAACTGTAAGGGAGCAATTTTGTTTGTGGTGTTCTTGAGGGCTCTTGTTGCTTTTTTTCCTTCATTTACTTATCAGCTACTGTTTCATAATTGATCAGCAATTATCTTTGACACTTTTATCGCGGGAGCTGTCTTTAATCAAATTTGAAACATGGATGGCGTCACATTTGGTATCATCGGAAACACTATCTTTCGGTTCCTCGGCAGCGCGAGGTTCGCATGTGGCGCCGAAGTTACGTCAAAGTATTATGCATCTCAGTCGGGGAGTGCGTCAGTACTAAACTTATTCACCGATTGTAGCACCTTCTAACTACCACCTTTGATCCCTACCGCTCCACTTAGAAAGAAAAAAATTGGAAAATCAACGCCTCTTTCGGGGAAGAGGTCCACCTCTTATTTTCATCATGAATGCTGTGGTTATGCAAGAGTGGAATCGAAGCTGGAATAGAAGCTTTGCGTAAGGTGGACATGTCCTAGTTATCAATGGTGATGACCTCATAAATTGGAGATGTCGCTCAGTGAAGGAAAATCTGCTCCGAAATTTTGGTTAAAGGGTCGCAGGAATTCTTTCCAACCCAGTAGAAAGGTTTCAGCATTGCTGGAATATCAGTGTCTGCCTATGCACGAATGGTTTGCCAGCAGTTCTCAACAAGAATGGACCGCTTCCGCTTCAAAAGAACTTGAGCAGGTGGGCACTGCTGACGCACTCCACAGGTTTTTTTTAGCGCAGCTCGAGTGCCATTGGTGTTGAGGAGGTTAGGCTGGTTCATATTTCTTCCCAACTTCGTAAAACATCAAACTGAGCACTGTTGACAGGTGTTTGAATGGAACTAGCTTTCATGAATAGGAAACTTGAAGCAGGGACAGAGCAGAAGGAATCCTCGAAGAGACTTCAATGAAGCTGGAAATGTGTTTGAGTGGGTGTAAGTGCAGAGTGGACGAGTGGAACTGACCCATTGTGCTTCTGTATGGTGTACGCTGAGATGTTGGGATTGGGTCTCAAGGTTAGTGTAGCTCCGGGGCTCTTGGCCTCTGCATCAGTTATGGACATCCACTTTTTTTCGAAGCTGGAACAGGATTATGTGACTGGTTAGGTATTTGTTTCCAGGACTAGTATGAACCCCTGAACAAGAATAGAACATTTTTGGGACGAAAACGTGTCTGGGAATGTGACGGGCCTTGACACGCTCCCTTCTCAGTCAGAAAACATTGCGAAGATTTTTCGTAACCCTTCCAGTGAAAAGCTCTGCAGTTTCAAAAAGCTAAAAAGAGACTCGAAATCAACGCTAGAAAATACATCTGATAGTGTGGGTCCATTACAAGTGGCCGCTCAGACTTGAAGCCCATGCGTTGTCAGTCAGTGCGACATGTTGTCGCCTGACATTTCCCAACAGGTAGGTGTTATTATCGTCCACCGATAACGCCCGTTCAAGGAATGCTACCTGCGCAAAATGCTAGCTGCGACAGCACAAGTGGTCTATAGCGACTCATTCCGTATGCCATGCAAATTTTCATAGGAGAGACCGGGAGAGTTGCCAGACACATCAGTCTACGATTTGGTGCTTTCTGGAAAGGGGTTTTCTTATTTGTAACCTTTTTCGGAAAATCTTCATCCACTTCATGGATGTGTGAGTCATTCTGAGTAAAAGTGTGTTTACAGGTCGACAAGACTGCAGTCACTTACATGTTTACCGAATATAGTAGCCGTCCAAGTAAAGCTCTTTCGATGGTGACATTAAAGGAGAAGAAAACTCATAATGAAGAGGAAGAAATGAATGGTTAGTCTTATTTTTTTCCTGGTTCTCACAAGGATTCGACTAATTCTTTTTTTGGGACCACATGTCCGTCGGTAGGCTCCGCTTTGGCTTTATTTGATACCAGTCGAGTCGCCCGGCCGTTATTGAGCCCTGTGAACAAGTTTGGGGAGGCATCATTCTGATTGCAGTGAACGAATTCGATAGCGCTGATGTGGCAGCCTTATTTGGGTAATATATTGCTGTAACTAGTGCGGAACATTAAGCGAGCACATAAGACATCTTGATACAAAATGGCGTGTTGACACGTAGGAAGAACTTGTAAAAGCTCTAGAGGTGAATCGCTCTGCTCTCATTTCCTTTCACTGTTCTCTCTGCACTGTTTATCTCGAACTGCCCCAATCATCAGAAATCTGGCCAGTCTCTGACGGATTTTTCTCTGTGTGGGCGGAATTGGCCAAAAATCTGTCACCTGGAGTAGTTTAACCTCCGAAAGATGAATATCACATCCGCTCAGCACGAAATCTCCTGGGGCCGCGCCACAGGCGCCGGCGCCAAAATTCCCAAATCACCGGCGCCTGTAGGCGCGGGCGTCAGGAGGTTTTGGGTCAAGCGAATGTGATGTTCGTATTCAGGAGGTAAAATTACCCCAGAATGCAACAATTGAGCCGAGGTCTGTCCAAGGAGAAAAAAGTCGGTCAAAACTAGGCACGATTCCGGATGACTGGGGCAGTAAAGGGTGAAGAGTGCTATTCTCTCTATTGCGGAAGTGGTATTCGGTAGAATGAAGCGCAACCTGCTCTTCATGCACGAAAATGTGCGACTCTTCCTTGTACTTGATCGGTAGCTATGGTTTCATTCACCTAAACCACACGCATACTATGCTATGGACTTGTACAAAAGTGAAGCCCTTAAGCAATGAGAACTTCAAACCACCTCCTCTAGCGGGACCTCCACACCTCGAAAGTGCAGTCTTCCTCTCTTTCGGGTTAGTGACCGCACAATATCGCAGGATCAGAATTCTTCCACTAGATGTGATAGCAACAAAGTCGGGCAAAACATACCCCAGTTATTGGACGTAGGATCCGAGAGCTGTTGGCCGATATTGTGAGTGTGGCGTGAAGAGAACTACTACATATGGCGAAGTCCTGTGTTATGCAAACATCAAATGTTGTAATCAACAAAGAGGTCAAAACTTTCGGTTCAAGTGCTTGAAGCAGATATGAAGGTTTATTTGCCCTGCTTGAGCGAATAGGTGTGAGTGCAATTCCTCTCGAAATTTATCCCTCAGGGCTCAATAAGGAGCAGAGAGGGGCCCCTGATGGTCGAACTGGTACCTAAAACTACTTTCCAAGTGTTTAGCATACGTTTCAAGAAAAAGCAAAACTACGAAATGCATCAAGGATCCGAACCTTTGTCCCACCGCTATGAGCCCGCTCACCTACCTGCTGCGCCATCGAGCCACGCTTTGCCTGTGTCAAGAATGTTCCACACAGCCGCAAAGTGTGGGGAGGAGGCCCGCCACAATGGTTAAGCACAGAAGGAAGAAAGGCCCGTAGCTTCTCTCTTAGAATGTTTAGCATTAAACGTCATATCTAAAACCAGCGTCCAAAGATGTCTCTAGGAGCATACATCCCATCCCGAATGACCATGACGAGTTGGTATCCTTCCCTTGTGAGTAGGAATACCCTGGTTGCCCAGGGCTTCGATACCGCTTCTGTCTCAACGGAGTCGAAGGCTTTCTTCAAGTCGATGAACGTGAGACATAACGGCATACTCTCGCGATACTTCAATGAGCTTCGTTACCGTGTGGATGTGATCGATCGTGCTGAATCCTCTTCGAAACCCTGCTTGCTCGCATGGCTGTCCTTCGTCTAGTGTTCTGCCAATCCTGTTCAGGATGACTCGTGTGAAGAGTTTGTAGACTACAGACAGCAGGCAGATTGGGCGATAATTGCCAATGTCGTACAGGTCTCCCTTCTTGTACAGCAACACAGTCTTGCTGGTTTTCCACGAGGTGGGTACCTTGCATTCCGACAGGTAGCGCGTGAAGAGTCAGCCCAGATTGACAACAACTGGTGGAAGATTTCCCAGATATTCGGGTCCTGTCGGGACCGGGTGCCGTACGATTCTTAACCGACAAGATGGCGTGTCGG